TGCTGTACCAAACGCCGAATCCGCCGAATTCTCCCGGGAATGCGAGATCGAGGGACTCTTGCTGCCCGTCGACGGTGGATTGAAGAAGGAATCTGGTAGATTGCGCATGCGCAGTGGTACTTGCAGCGGACGCTTCGAGTCTGGCTTCAGGACGCTGTCGAACAGCGCCTGTAGATCCGATTCAGAGTTTTGATCGATCCTTACCACGAGATTACTCTTCGACAACTGGTCCACGTCCTGGTTCAGCGCCATTTTGGATCACGCACTCTAACGCGCTTCGTTCGTCTCTTTCTCTTTCTAGCCCTGTCCTCTGTCTCTCCTCGTGTCCTGTACACTCTCTGTCGCTACCTTTCCTTCTTCTTTATTTCCGTCTCTCTTTAGCTACACACCGTTCCTTTCCGTTGCTTCACTCCTATCCTATCTCGTCTCGTTCCTGTCTTTCTCTTTCCTCACCGTTCCCAATCTTCTCTTCTCCGCCGCCTCTCCCTCTCTCCTCTTCCCTCTTTCTCCCTTTTACGCGACGTTTGCTGTTGTCTTTTACGACGGTGTACACCTATGGGCATTCGTGCACCGCACACCACCAGTCTCTTCTCTATTCGAGCTGTACACACCGTCTCGCTCTCCTCCGTCACTCCTCGGTTCCTCGACAACGCAATACTTTCCTCTCTGTTCCACCTGTGCGTTTCGCGAGAGACAACAAAACAAGCAGGACAATGCCGCCGCCGCCGCCGCCACCGCCGTCGTCGCTGCCGCCGTCGTTGCAACTACCACGGGGTCCCCTTGTACCGGTACCTTCGACAATACCCTCGGATTTCTCCACGAGTTACGTCTCCTCCACCTCTTACCACGATATCGCGCACCAGGAGAAATCGACTCGTTTTGCTAGCCGGCCGTCTAGCAAACGAGTGCTAGCATTCACCGTGCGTGGACACGCGATTACGTACAGGGCCTAGAAACTCCCGTGTGTTCAAGTGGTGCCCGATTTTCTGCGCCATCTGACGATCCTTCCTCTTAGCAAATCACACTGGCGGTACTTATGAAAACAAATTATTTTACGAACGTGCCAAACCAAACTTGCTATTTTACTAATTTTCTTACTTTTTCAAAAGTTGTCCGTTGCAATTCCTAGATGAAGATAAAAAAGAAAAGGGCTGCATCGATGTACTTTTACTTGATGCCACTTCAATTCTCTCTCTTTTCTCGATACTAACTTTCTTTAACTCTTCCGCACCACGATCCTCTTTACTCTGTTAACGATTGCAAAAGCCTAAAATAATATATTTCTCTCAAGTACCGTTTCGACAATTGCGTGATCTTGTATTTTAAGTACAGTTCGCAAAGTTTAGGATGCTGCGACGCATGCGTTCTAATTGGTCGACGATCAGCCGAACCGTTCTCAAACCTACAACTTCTATATTCAATTTGCATTTATCGAGTTCGATATATTCGCCGACAGTCTTGTTTATTTCAAGTTATGCGATCGATTAATTCAAGATAGAAATTTTCTTCCGTACGTTGTTCCTTGATCTTGTCGATAGAACATCACCAAGGAAGATACGCATAATCAATTCGTATGGAGTCTGAAATATTTTCTCAGCTCTACCATCTACAATATTAGATAGTTGATGGTTTCGATATTTCGGTTGTGTGGTTACTTTAATTTATTGACAAAAATGTAACACTTCTATTTTAAATTGACTATGTTTTTACAACCGGAATGATATCTGTTTTATCTACATTAAGTTATTTGTGTAAATATTGAAGGTGTTTTTATTCAAGTAAGAACTCGTTGACACGAAAAGCGAAAATGTCTTCGAAGAGGTATTTAATTGTTTTTACTTCGTGTTTTTAAACTTGCAGAACTTTACGAACTTGCGGATGGAAGTTATTTGTAGCTAGGAGGAATCGTCTCTCGATCCTTAGCGCATTTCGCTTGTTACACGAAACAATTGCACTGTATCGATTCTTTGTTTCTTTGTTAACCTGAACGATCAATTTAGTCACATTATTTGTTATTCTTAACATTACCATAACCTTTTTTTAATAAATTTGAACAATATTATTCTTGCATATCTATTCGTATCTCTCGTATTTATTAGAACCATTTACCTGATACATTCGTAATTAAATATTAAGATAAAGTAACACATCTATATGTAGCACAGCACTTATCTTTAAAATGCCTGGTACATTGCAATTTTTACTCTAGTAAAAATGAAGAAGGTCAATCTAAATGTTGTTTGCTTGTATTATTTTATATATCACAATGATGGGAATGGCCTAGATTTAATCAAAAATTCAACTGCTTTTTTAGTGAATTAAAAAAGTTGTCAGAAGAAAGTTTAACTAGACAACCAGAAGAAGTGTTTGATATAATATGCAAGTTAGGAGAAGGGTTTCATATTTTATTTATCTAGATCCTATGGATCAGTTTATAAAGCATTACATAAAGAAAGTGGACAGGTACTTGCCATTAAACAAGTGCCTGTTGATACAGATTTACAAGAGATTATAAAAGAAATTTCTATCATGCAGCAGTGTGATTCTCCATATGTTGTTAAATATTATGGAAGCTACTTCAAAAACACAGATTTATGGGTAACACTATTGTTTGAATAGAAAACACTATTTTTCATCTGGTTTCGGCCAATATTTATCAGGGTGCCATTTCACAGATTGTAATGGAATATTGTGGAGCTGGTTCTGTTAGCGATATTATGAGGTTAAGAAAAAAGACCCTTCAAGAAGATGAAATAGCAACAATTCTTAGTGATACCTTAAAGGGTTTAGAATACCTTCATTTAAGAAGAAAAATACATAGAGACATTAAAGCAGGGAATATTTTACTCAATAATGAAGGGCATGCAAAATTAGCTGACTTTGGAGTAGCAGGACAATTAACTGTAGGCTATAGAAAATTTATTCAGATCGATTATTTTCTTGGTAAAATACAAATTAATTTTCAACAATTCTTCTAGGATACAATGGCAAAACGTAACACAGTTATAGGAACTCCATTTTGGATGGCTCCAGAAGTGATACAAGAAATTGGATACGATTGTGTTGCAGATATATGGTCCCTTGGTATAACTGCTTTAGAAATGGCAGAAGGCAAACCACCATATGGTGACATACATCCAATGAGAGCAATATTTATGATACCAACAAAACCACCACCTAGCTTTAGAGAACCTGATCAGTGGAGTTCTGAATTTATCGATTTTGTCAGTGGGTGCCTTGTTAAAAATCCAGAAGAAAGAGCTACTGCAACTGAGCTTTTAAATCACGAATTTATAGGTAGAATTTTCACACATTTCGCACATTTCACACGATTTATTTAATACGACACATTTTATTACAGGTAATGCCAAGCAACCAAGTATTCTGAGTCAGATGATAGCAGAAGCTCATGAAATACGGGAAAAGCAAAGCGCGCATCGTGCTCATGTTATCAATAATGTGGCAATCAAAAATCAAAACCAAACAGAAGATTCGGTATTTATCTATATTAAAATTCATTAGAAATCGTATCAGATATATGTACACTAATACTCTTAACGAACATTTAATCTCTTCTATAAGGATGAAGAAGACTGTAGCGGAACAATGAAACCTCTACCAGAAGATACAGGAACTCTAGTACCGAGTCATGATCTTCCAGATACGGGTACACTTGTTTCCGCGATGTTAGACTTGGGAACAATGGTTATTAATAGTGATACCGACACCGAAGCAACTATGAAACGTTGGTAGAAATAACTTCCTAGTGAAACGTGAAATATTTCATTTCACGTTGTTATTTCTAACAATGATAAATATTATTTATTTGCAGGACATAATACAGGGTCAGTTGAGTCCGGAAAGAAATATCGGCCGTTATTTTTAGATCATTTTGATAAAAAAGAAGCACCTGAAATAGGAAAGGTAGAATTCGTATTCCGTCTTCGCCTATTGCATTTTAATTCTTAATTTTGAATTTTATTTCTTACCTATTAGGGCAATGGACAAATACTTGGGGCACATAATCAAGATAACGAAAACAAATTAGAATTACGAAGCCCTACAGAATCTCAGAGGTTTCAAAGCCACCTGCAATTGCAGCTTAATCAAATTTCTCACCCTGTACAAGAACAGCCTCATAATAACATATCCAAGTTCCAAAATGTCTTCACAGAACGTGATTTCGACTTCGTAAGTAATAAATAACTTGTAAACTTTCACAGAAGGTCAAAAGTAGATTAACGTTTCTTTTAGTGTTTTAATATTTTTTTAAGTTAAGATCCAAAAACACTTTAGGCATCATTAAAAAAAACTTGAATATAGATAAACAACCATATCCTGCAGCTGAAGTTTCTCTCATACGAGGAACTACAGCAACGAATGGCTAATCTGGATGCAGAAATGGAGAGGGAAATTGACGAGCTAAGAAGAAGGTACCAAACGAAGCGACAACCGATTCTTGACGCCATGGATACCAAGCGGAAGCGTCAGCAAAACTTCTAACAGTTTGGTTACCTTTTTTATGCAAATAAGTGTGATGATGATAGATAAAGGGTGTACAGTTGTATAAATGAATAGATTTTATTCACCTCGTTCTTAGTTTCACCAAAGAGAAGGACATTGTTCGCTAACTAAAAGTTTCCCTGCAAAGTGACGTAATAATAACAATTAAAAGTAGTTTCTCTTTCTCAAACAATGTTCTGTGTCTCTTTGCGAATTAAGAACGAGTAACTAATACTAGCCAATAGCCTCACGTCACCAATGTAAATTATTTTACATGATTTAGGTGAACAAGTAATCATTATACTTAATTTTTTATCATTATGTTTATCTATGTACTGTTATTATGCTATGCTTATAGTGATATTATGAAATCCCTTCAGCATTCTTTAGAAGCTAGAACTATGGGGAAAAATTGAATGCGAATGAAAATAAGTAGAATGCCATGTTTGCTATGTTCTTTTTGGTGGAAAAAGAAATCAGACGAGCGTCCATGAGAAATTGATATTCGGTTTTCATCTCACACTAGTCACCTATTATGCCATTTATTTTATCCATAATGTTACATTATCAACGTCATCACTCATACGAAACACATGCATGGAGGTCATCCCGGAAATATATTTATAGTCTTCTGCGCTAACATATTGTTTACTTGTCAAGCAATTTCAGATAAGTTAACAAGCTTAGAACATATTAAAGAATTTACTCCTTCTTTACTGCCATAGGTGTATTACGCGTTTACCTATTGATATAATTTAGTTACGAAATATTCGATTTTAAAGTTTTGTGAACACAAGTCGTGAATTGTTTGGTAGTATTTTTGTACCATGCAAGATTACAGCGAGAGTGATAGTATCTCAATGTGAAATATTCGATAAATTAACTTACTGAAATTAGTCTTCCGTATTAGAATGTATTTTGATATTTCAATAATTTGTTAAGTCAGTATTTAAATTGTTGAGATAGTCGTCATGAAGTAATGGGGCAAGACTTGTAATATTTTTTAGATTTGTATAAAATTTTTATTCTATTAGAAAACACAGCTTTTAAATCATTATTATTTTTTTGCATCAGTAAATTTTTCAACGCATAGTTGCATGAGTCATACCGGAGAAATAATAACGCGTGTACGTACCGTTAAGAATATTATGACATAGTGGAGTAATTCTTTGCTGACGTTGGGCTATTTTACAAGTAGCGGAAATAGATTTATAATACTTAAATGCTATAGCCAGAACTGACTTTTCTGTTTATTTAGGAAGTAACAATACAGAATAACAACATATTTTTGATATAGAAGATATGCACATTATGGTCGAAAGAGATTCAAATATTAATTATTAAATCCAGTCTTTATATGGCCCTACCATGACACACAGCATTATTAAAACAATAACATTGGGTTTCACCGTTAATAAGAAAAGCAAACAATTGAGTTGTACTCTCGACAAATATCTTTACTGTTTGAGAAAGAAATAGAGCGCACCACTCACCGCGACATACGTGTTGCAGTAATTTAACGGAAATAAATGAATTTTACTCGTGCAGAGTTACACATTCGATAGAACATAAATACGTTTGTAGTAAAGAAATTTTCTATGTTCATCTTCCACGTGTATTACTAAAATCCAGAAGAAAGAAAACACAAAAAAAGGAAGAACATGCGGAAGTGATATTGTAAAAAATAGTTATGCATTTCCATATAATTACCTATTATCCAACAATTAAAGAACACGATGAAATTCTTTTCTAGGAAAACTTAAATAGTCCATGAAATAGGGATCTATAATATTTATAAATATAATGTACACATGTAGAAGTCTATTTCATAGGACAATAGCGAACGTTTTTATTTTTCGCATTAGAAAAATACTATCCTTTTATATTACCATTTACAATTATTTGTTTAGAAGGCCGTTCTAATCTTACATTTTTCTTATAAATTGTACCATTCTCTATATGTTTGGGCAAAATATACAGACTGAAGGCAGAAATTTGTCTTTCCAACAAATGATTACCTATCTAGCTGGAATTATAATCTCATTATACAGCGCAATATATGAATTACTCCCATTTAGTATTAAAATAAAATATATTAATTTTCATTTAAGGTAACAAAATAAATATAATTGTTAATATAAGACACTGCCTTTTACGTATTTGATTTGAACAATAATAAAGTATTATGTGTACTATCATTTATTTCAGTTTTATTTATTTATTTCATTAGATATTTGCACTAATTTTTTAAATTATTTTTACATTTTTTGATCATTACAATAAATAACATTTACATAAAATCTTGAACCGAAATTCTTTTTTTATGCTTTTATTATTAACAATATATTTATATATCATACAAAACATTGTTACAAATTCGTTAATATTTCATTTTTATATTACTTTCTCTCTTTATTTAAATATTAAAAATAATTTATAAATTTTTCGCGGTTAGTATCAGTAGTATCGTATCGATAAAATGCTCATATAAAATGCCCAATATAAAAATGACACATTTATTTGGTTGTGCATCACGTGAGAAACGGATAAATTTTTCTCCGATTATATCGTAGCAAAAATAGAGTTGTTTGTTTTTTTCATCTCATAATTCCAGTTAATGTATTCATAAATCATCATCTCCGATCATGTGAAATGCATTATTTTCCATAACATCATATTCCAACGTTTGTCTCCCTTGAACTTTATCACTGGCGTTACTTTTAACATTATTGAACTTTTTTATTTTTACTACTGACAATCTGTCTGCAAGTTTCTTCATTATTGGTTCTGATTTAGGTGATTGTTTAATACAACGACCCTAAAAAGAAACGCAATAGTATAAGTAAATAAAATACAAGTCTTTTCAGGGGAACATACCTTTTTATTTTCTTCAGATTCTTCGTTGGAGCTTGCTCCCATTGTAACACTTTGCCCATCTCTCATAACATAGGTCCAAGATTTTTGTGATATCTCCTATAAACGAATTGGAGAATATTTTAGGGAGAATAATTTTATTTAGCAATTGATAGTATTTTTTATTAACCTGAGTCTTATTACTACCAACAGTCTTTGATATTAATTCATCAATCATAGCTTGCAAGCATACGGACATTAATATAGCTTGTTCTGAAGTAATTGTAACCCATTGTAACTGATTTTTAGCCATTAAATATTCGAAAGATAATTCTAAACTAAAATCGTCACTTTCCTCGCTCCCTCTTTCGAGACCCTAAAATTAAAACAATATGAAACAGTACAATAATAAAACATTTCTTCCCCTTGTAATTACTTACATTTTGCAACGTAGTTATACGCCAGCAACGCATTTGCGAAACATTAAACATTTCTTCGTATTGTTCCCCATCAGATAATATCCGCAAATTTAATTCATTTCTACCTATGGCAACTAGTACTTTCGAATCTGGTTTAGGATAATCACAGAAACATGGAGCAAACTGAATATAACCATAATATTTTGAAGTACGTACTATATCCAGATACTAAAATTACATTATTTTCAAATTTATTCTAAACCAATCTACTTCTACTTTGATATTATGATACATAGTAAAACATACTTCTTTTTTCTTTGCATGCTTTTGCAAGACAATCAACTGATGTTTTAATTCATCTGTGATAAGAATCCATCCCCTTTGAATTTCTGCAATTGCTTGAATATATAGCAAATTCATTGCTACCCCATTATTCATCAGTCTGAGATCATATTCCATATCCCAATAATTTTTTCCAAGTACAACTCTACTTCCTATAATGTGTAAGTGTTTATTTGTTATAAATGGGGACTCAAAATCTTGCAATTTCCGCAGTACTGAAAAAATAATTTAGAAAAAATAATTGTAATTGCATGTTCCATTGAACACCTAACCAGTATAAAGGTACACTTACAGTAAACACTGTTTGCCTCATCTTGAGCAACAATAAATAATGCAAAGTAAGAATGATATTGATCAGGTAGCTTAAGGTGTTTATATACTTTCTGTTAAATAAAATAATGTCAGTTAATCTTAATATATTTTTGATGCTTTGGGATATATATGTTCATTAAGTAATAATTACTTTTAAAACACCACCAGAATGATCTCCAGTAGAAACATTGATTGCTATTTTGCTGCCATTCATAAGAAATATATCCATAAGTTCATTATCAGATGGTCCTCCTATAGTTTCCTGTTGAGCATTCAACAAAAATCCATTTAGCAATCCTGAATTATTAATCCCTGGATTTTGCCCTATTGCCTGAATATATTTTTCCAAAGAAAGACGGCGTTCTTCTTGTTGGTTTGTTGTTAAGGGAAAAAACTTTTTAGGTGGAAATGATGGAAGTGACATATCCAAGTCTTTTGCTAACTGTTCATGAAGACTATACAGTTGTTTATATCTCACAGTACAATGAAATAATCCATTTATGTGAATGTTATAGCCCTAAAGGTTGAAATAAAGAAAGAAATACAGATATATAAATGCATACTAATATATTGAAATACTTGAAATGCTTACCACGTATGTGTTACCAGCTGCATCAATAAATTCTTGTGTATCTGGTATAGAAAAATGCATTTTTATAAAATAAAGTATCAGACCTTTGTGTTCCTTTTTTTTCTCTTTTTTGTAATCAAGTTACATTATATATACAATTGAACTACTTTAGAATATATTACAATTAACTGACTCTTTTTTCATAAATATATACAGATGCTACTTAACAAAATGAACATATGTAAAAAGATAATCCAAAATGTATAAAAACATCTACATAAAAAATCCCACATTGTATATAATTAAATGCAGTTAAGTTTAAGAATGCATATAGATATATTCCCAAACATTAGTCCATCTGTAAAATAAAATAATAATAAAATACAAACAAGGTAGACCAAAGAGGGACTTAAATATCCTTAAATATCTTTAAAGCTCATGATGTATGTTTGAAATCATTAATTCTTTTAAAATAAATAAATTTCCACCATACAATTAGAACAAACTAAACAATTTATTACAAAATTAAACTTAAAATAAGAACAATTTTCTGGTATCTTTATATCGTCAATTTCGGTTCAATAAGTTTTACTTTAACGTTTCAAACAAAATAATTACAATTTGCTTAAAACGTATGTTATCGATATAACAGATATTATAACCATTTGAACTTGACATTAATGTATTAAATGATTTAAATGGATAATATTATTTCGCTGTTACATGATTGCAAATGACAGTAATTATACAATTATTAAATACGCCAAATACTTACATATTGTCCATTTGCTTTACCGTCATTATTTATGACGATAGGCGTATTCGTTGTACACCCACTCAACAACTATATTTCTGGCGATTAAAGCTGACGCATTTTTTAATACTTACATTAATATTAATATAATGATGATTACTGCGTATGGATACAATTTATAAAGTTATAATTTGTTTATAAATAGATGCAAACTACAGAAGTTATATTTTTAAGATGAGGGATACTAAATATATTTTAATAAAACACAGTATTATAAATTTGCTATATAATTTTATTTTTTCACGTTTAAAAATACACTTGATTTTTCTCATTGCTAATATGTACTTTGTTTTGTAATTTCGTAAGCGCCACGGCGCCCTTATTAACAGATTCTATTTTTAAATGTACTAGATCAGACACTCATTTGAAAATTTCAATGTATGTGAACCTTTGATCTATGGAAAAGAAATTTCAATATTTTGTTATAGAAGTTGAATTCTATTTTCTGCGTAACACTTATGTTACGTATATTTAATATGTTTATACGTATGAAATATTTCTCCTTAGTATAAAGTTTCATTCACCAAGTCATTGGAAAACGTATTTTCAAGTATTAATTTTTATATGTTATATAATATATATAGAACTTAAGACTACAACACAAAAGATTATTATTTCATACGTAGTTAGTATTATAAACTAGAATTATGTTATAATATATTTATATATTTTTTCGTTGTACTCCACTTCCGGTTATTCTCGAACGATATATCGATTTGAGCATATACACTATCGAATGGACGGAACGTTTCTTTCCGATAAAAGGTTCACACTGAAACGTCAAGTATGTTAGGTTTCATGGAATATCTATTTTAATCGTTTGTAATTTTGAATTTTACAAAAAAGTAGGAGGTTTGTTTAATTTTTTAGTATTTTTGGAATTAAAGAATTTGTATATGTTTGATATATTTTAACTATTATCATAATGAACGATGCTGACGTTATGGAGCTAACCAAAAAAAAAATGTTTGCTTTCCATTTGTTATTAATATAAAATGTTTAGTTTATAATTTTAACATTTTTCTGTATAATTAAAGTAGGACACGAGTTTTCATGTTGTAACAAAAGCATTAAAGTTACTTTTATGTCAAGTATTATAAAAGCTTTAGATAACCTATAAAGTTGTTTGTCCTTTTTACTAAATTAAACAAATGTAGTTATTTGTGTAAGTTAGGCTTAATATGTATCTTTAATTCCACAGTTGTTTTATTATGTCGTGTAATATTTCAAAAATATGATCATTATTCCTTCTACTTTTTCCTTGCCTTAAAGTGAAAGTGATTTATTACAACTGTGATAACAGTACCAAGTCTTTATCTTATTATTTTATTACTTTCAGAATGTTGATGCCAAAAAAGAACCGTGTAGCTATCTATGAATACCTTTTCAAAGAGGGTGTCATGGTTGCAAGAAAGGATTACCATGCACCAAAGCATCCAGAACTAGAAACTATTCCTAATCTTCAAGTTATTAAGGCTATGCAGGTAACATTATTATGCATAATTTAATGACATATTGCTTGCTATATGTCATTTGATTTATTCTACCATTGATGTCAAACCTTTATTTGCTTCTACAGTCTTTAAAATCTAGGGGATATGTTAAAGAACAATTTGCATGGAGACATTTTTACTGGTATTTGACGAACGAAGGCATTGAGTATTTGCGTGGATATTTGCATTTACCTCCTGAAATTGTACCATCCACACTTAAACGACAAACTAGGTCAGAAACAACAAGGCCAAGACCTGCCACAGGTGCAAGGAGTGAAACATCTAGACCGACAGAAGATCGTGCTGGATATAGACGAGGACCTGGAGGACCAACAGGAGGTCCTGGTGATAAAAAAGCTGACGTTGGTGCAGGTACAGGTGATGTTGAATTCCGTGGAGGTTTTGGACGTGGCAAACCACAATAATATTTTAATGTAAAATAAATAAACATTTCTTAATATAGAAGTATTGTTACTTCACCCATCCTTACATTTTAAATAATTTTAATGCATAAAAGTATAAATAAATATTTAATACTGTTTAATAAGTAAAAAAAAAATGAAGCAGACATAATAATTCCTTAGTTTATTTCCTATTACATTATAAAAGTGTACATTTACTTACAAATTGTAGAATTGTATTTGTTACTAACAATTAAAACCGTAAGTGGAAGCAAATGGTAGGCAATGAGTATACGATTACAATGTATGGAAATTATAAGTTTACTAGATAAACATATTGTTTCTAACAAGATACATGAATAAGGCTGGAAACATCACAGATATGTTTTATATTTGTGCAAAGTAAGAATTTTAAATAAAAAATTTTTGATCAGTTCATTGTATGAGAGAAAAGAAACAAAACTTCTTCTTATTCACTGGTATTAATTTAAAACACAAATTTATGCATATTAGCAGTGTAATGTAGGCTTCCTTCTTACAATTTTTTGAAACACGTGAATGTTCTCAATTTTATTTTAGTTAGTGTATCAACATTTTCTAAACCTGTTTTTATTATTACAACACAAGAGTAGTACTTGT